CTCTGCCTTGGGACACCAGTGGAAAGCTTAGTGAAGTCACAGCAGTTTCACAGAGGAGTCTATATACATTTTAAAATATATTATGGACAAAGACTTAATACTTGATTCTCAGCGATCAGCTCTTGTTTACAGGCTCACTTTTAAGCTCTCGCTTTTCTAAGCTGTTCAGGTTACCTTATTGACTGAAAGCTGAAATAGTTGATCATCTTTTATACTTTCTCTCTTTAACAGGGCAGAGCTGACCACCATGTTCAAAAACATCTGCAGTTTTTGTATGTTTAAAGAGAGAACATGCTGCCCACTAACTACTAACCTTTTCCATGTAAAAAAGGTCAGCTTCTAGTTGGAGATCTCTAAATAGGAAGTTTCAGTCATGATCCATGCTCTGAAGGCTTTTATCATCTTTTTCCTAGTTTCACTCCTATCCTTGTGTAACCTTTCAAATCCTGGCTGATCCCTGCCAATGGCTTGAGGTCCTGCAGGCTTCTCCCTAGCTCTAAGCTCTGAGACCTGGGCCTTTCTTCTTCTGTGGCATGGCACTGAGGCTGCCTATAAGATGAGCTCATAAGCTGGTAGTGTATGGATGAATTGATGGATGGATGCAGTGCCTTTTCCCCATGGTCTGATGCTATAAAAATGGCACAATGCCTAAGTAGGCCTTAGAGAAACTGGCTACTTCAGAAAAACGTCTTGGCCCACTCAAATATCAACAAAACTCCTCCCAGAGCATGAATTACTTGGTGTTGAATGACATGTTCATGAATGTGTGTAGGCTTTCTTTTTTTTTTTTATCCTCTGGTGAAAAAATGACTAATCCAAAGGCTATTGAAAGGGCTTATGCCTTCCCCCCCTTTTGTTGCCTAAACAGCTTCTTCTGAGTTCATGATTCAGCTGTGGATGTCCCACGCCCATCCTTTACCTAGGGTAGCCAAAACCCCACCTCTTCTGTAGGTGGGGTTTTTGTTCAGGGGTACAGAGCAAAAAGGTGTGCTAATACATTAGTGTCAATCACATCTGAATAGCAGCTGAACTGGAGAAAGCGAGAACATCTGAAACACCCCTTATTCAAGCAGGTGCTTCCTTCTGTTTAAACCTTGCAACTCAGTGAAGAGTCTTGAAAAAAAATAGTTTCTACTTTTCCATTTTTCAAGGAAGCAAAGGATTTTTTATGTTCATTTTCTCAATTGCTAGTCATACAATACTGTTCTTCTGTTGCCCTCAGAAGCAGTGAGGCAAAGCAAGAATTATAACTCAAAGCTGTGCTACTGTAAAGTGAAAAATAAACAAAAAAAATCCCACAACTTTTTTTCTGCTACTTACTCAGTAAAGAAAAAGCACAGGTGTTTACTACAGCACTGCGATTCCTGCCAGCTTCCGCTGGAACTGGGAACTTTCTCATGTTTCAATAAAATTTCTTTGAAATGTTTCAAAATTCTTTTTACAGTTTAAGCTGAACACAGTACTCTACCTTCTCTTCTAGATGCATGTACAGTTGCTATTTCAGCCACTTGTAAGTTGCTGTATCCCATCAATTAATTTTCCACATCTGATACCTACATCTCAAGGGCTACATTAGGTAATTCTCAAAATTTGTTGCAGAACTTCATTCAAGGCAAGATTTATCAGAAGAGTCTTTTCTTTCCACAACCTGTGTACGGGTTGCGCAAGAGTGTAGTGTTTGTCTTGAGCAGCAAGTTTCCTCTGTAGTCTCCCATGGGGCCACTGCATAATAGAGCTCTGAGACACCTTGTTATGAAGACCTCTCTGAAAGTTTAAAGTACTCTGGCCACTTTATTTTGTATTACACTGTAAATTGTCTTTAAACTATGTTACTTAAATATGCCAATGTTAAGAATTCTGGAAATGAGTGTCTTTGATGACATGAGGAGTGTTACATTGATCTGGCATCTCACTCATGCAGATGCACTCGGGTATGTGGGAAGGACAGCTCATGGAATGACGAATGCTGCTGCTTTGGCTCAACAACGCGTAGAATACTTCCAACTACCACCTTGTAGATCTGCTGGTAATTTTACTGACATCATCTCGTTCTCTTTGGTGTCACAACCATATTACTTTTAAAATTGTGTTTCCTAAGTTTTCTTCTCAGCACTCTTACTTATGAGACAGGCTTTATATGATTAAATTATACATATTTTTTGAAAATATGCTAGTGGTTCACTTCAGGAGAGTTAGAAACAGCAACCTCACAATGCAAGAGCACACTATGTTACTGCTGCTTTTTGTGAAGATTGCCATCATTCCAAGGGAGCCAGGGATTGCATGCAGAGCGCTGATAGGAACTCAGCATTCTTACTGTAAGAAAAGACCCCTCTTGCGCAAAAACAAGGTGTCACCTTTGCTTTGCGTAAGACAAGGGCTCTCTATGGTTTCCAAACCATACCACCATGTCTCCACCATTCCCAGTTAAATCTCCACCCACACACATACCTAAAAATTAATTGGGAACTTTTTTGAAATTAAGTTGTGAGGTGGTGACAAATATTGCTTATCAGATATTAGTTGAATTCAGTTTTTCACTGGGAACCTCTATGACTAGGATCAAATAAATGAGCAATGGTCTCGTTATTGTTCTGTACAAGTGATTGTGATACAAAGAAACATTCTAGGAAAATTTGAAGCCCACTGTAATGGATTTAGTATTTATTTGCCAGCATTCAGCAATGTGGAAAGTTTTAGATAACTGTGACTTAAAGTCCCCCCAGCTATATGCAGAACTTCAGTAAACAGTGTGAATGGAAACTCAGTCGAGATCCGTGTTTGTTCCCTGCAGACTGCCTCCACAGCATCAGACAGCTAAATGTGGATATGCATGAGTTAATCCAGAAAGTTGTATACGAATTATTCACAGGGGGGAAATTTAACTCCATAACCAAACTAACAAACTGCCAGAACAGCTGTTTATGTTGTAGTAATACCAAAAACCTAACCTAAGGCTGAGATCCCATTGCAACTAGCGCAATCACTGCCCTAGGAAAATTACAAGCTACTTTCTAGTCAAAGTATACAAAGGGCATAAAATCAATTAACAACAGTGAGAATACAAGCAAAACAAATAGTAATAACACCTGGGTGGCTTTTATGTACTGCTTTTTATCAGTAGGCATTACAGAAGTTGGTCCTACATTGTCACACAGTCCTTAGTGTATTTTCAGATCAGTCTCTCTAGGGAGATACTGTTATCCTTGGTTTATATATGGGGAGCTATGACTCCGAGAAGCACAAATATTGCATGCAAGGTAGGGAACTGAACCAAAGTCTCACTGCTTGTGCACTCCATACTGCTCCCTGGAGAACTTCCTGCTGGTTGCTTAGCAAAAGGAAAGGTATTGTGTTGAAGTATCATGGGAGGAATAGGTACCTAATCAAGGTTCAAAAGAGGGTAAGAGCTTTATGAATTTTCATGTGATTTTATTTCATATACATAACAAATGTATGAGGAAGGAATGAACAAATAAATCAGCAATTATTGACAAAATGTCATTATGAAAATATCAGTCATCACATAGATACTAGCATTCCATTCAAGACTTCCAAAAAGCTAGCTGGTGCCAGTCAGCTGCAAAAGCTGATCATGAAAGTAGGTCCTGTGTGACAACTGAGTAGGCTTCACCAGTGGGACCTACTTCATGTCACAGAGAAAATGGTGGAATTAATCTGAGGTCATCTAGCCCACCTCTGTGTCCTGAGCTGAACTGCTTATAATGATATAATTTCTGATAGATGTATGTTGTCTATTCTTAACGCTTTCTAACTTGGCCTCTACTTAGGCAAACTACAACAGCTTTTCATTTTCACTGCCATTAGAAAGCACTCTAATGCTAATACTGAAGTTACATCTTGCAGTTTGAGCTCATTATTTCTCACTAACCTAGCTGGGACATGAAGGGCAGATTGATTGCTTCCTTTCACTTCATAGCAGTCTTTTACATATTTGAAGACTGATAACCTATCTTCCTTGGTCTTTTTTAAGGGATTCAGTTTGTTCAGCCTTTTTTCATTCCCTGATAGAAAAAAAAACCCCTCTTATCATCTGTTCTCCTTTAAATTTTTTCCAGTTCCCACATCTGTTCCTGAGTGGAAATCCAAAGCACTCTGGTGCATGAAGGCAAATTCCTAGTAGCAGACAGCACCTGAGGCTAGCATGAAATCTGCATCTCCCCTTAAATCCCAATTCTTTTCCCTCTTCAAAGTGATGCTACAAGGTGAATCCCAGATGTTCCCACAGGGCCCAAATACAGTCAGGATTGAGGTTTTGACATGATTGACCCAGTGATGGCTATCCCAGATACAGAAGGGGTATATTCCCAGCAGTCAGTCAGCATTCATTTCATGGTGTGTGTTTACTGGGGGAAGCAGATCATCGGGAGCCTGGAGCATCCCTTCTAGGACTCCATGGCGTGGGAAGAGCAGGCAAGTTATACAGGCAGAGACACTTGGCTCAGCAGCCCTGCACTCAGCAGGGCCTTCTGCCCCTGTCAACAGCTACGATAAAATCTGTAACTCCTGTAGGATTATCTGCCACCTCACCGACCTATTTCTTAAGTAACCCACCTATGTTATTGCCATTAATTAGCATTTCATCATTAATTTAGGCAATCCTCGTCTCTAAAGGACACCTTTGAGTTCTCTCCGGTGTGTTCAGCGATCTAGCGGGGCTGTAATTACCCCACGAGACGTGAGATATCGCTAACAAACGCCTTTTCTCTCTCTCTCTCTCTCCGGTTTCCTCACGCAAGCCCTACCCTGCTGAGGCAGGGAGCTCTAGCAATACGGAGGAAGGCAGGAAAAGAGGAGCGAAGGAAGGCAGCGAGGCAGAGCGGAGCGGTGCCGGAGCAGCCCGGTGCTGGCTCACCCCGCGCGGCCCGGCTCGGCCGCGTCGGGCGGTGCCCGCCGGGCCCCTCGCGGGGAGCGCCGGGCGGCGCCTTCCGCCCGCGCGCCCTCTCACCCGGCGGCGGTCGCGGCACAACACGGAAGCGATGGCGGCCGCGGCCGGGGAGGCAGCGGGAGGCGGCGGCGGCTCCCCGTCCTCCGCCCGGCGGCGGCTGCGCATCATCTCCGGGCACCTGCGGGGCGCCCCGCGGGCCCCGGGGCGGGGAGCGCTCTCCCCGAGCCCCTGCAAGGCGCAGGGCGCCTCCGCCGGGCCGGCCTCCGGCTCCATCCCGAAGAAGCGGTGGGTGCGGGCGGGGTCCCCGCGCCGGGCCAGGCGGGCTCCCGGGGCCCTCGGCGGTGGGTGCGGGTCGGGACCGGGGCAGCCCGTGCTGCGGGCGGGGGTCTCGCTCCCGCCCGGGGACGGGCGCGGGCTGCGGGGCCCGGGGAGGCCCCGCGTGGGCCGTGCGGGGGTAGCGGGGCTCGAATGGGTCGGGGCGGCGGCCGGGGGGGACGAGGCTGATCCCAGTCGCGGGTGAAGTGTTAACGCTGTTCACCGCTGTATGGACTGGTGGAAACCGGAGGTAGGTGGTCTTCAGCCCCTTATCTGCTTCTGTAGTAAGTGGGTTTGTGTTAAAATGGAAAGTCGTCATGGTCACCTTAATAACTGAAGATGTGATGGAGAAGTTTTGTTTTTATGAGATACTTTTGAAGCTGCTCTAATGAGGAATGCAGCACGTGTGAAGAGCAAGGTCTGTGTATGGGCTCTCAGTCCCACCCTGTTCTCAGGCATGTGAAACCTTCAGCTGATGTGAGTGCTGTCAAAGTTTCTTAGATATGAATAATTTTAAACACATGAACTACTTTTTCATGGTTTTGCTATACAGAGCAGTAAGGAATCTGAGGTCATGTGAGACCAAGAGAAGACATAGTCAAATTCCCTAGTTTGTTCTAGGTCTAGTTCTAATTCTCTGTTTCACTGGCTCTTGGATGTATTTTTCTACTAGATTGTTTTTAAATGATACAGTTATAATACCATGATATAATTTCATGTAACTTATTATGAGGCTCTCTTTCTGTTGGGGTGGACTTGTATTAATTTTGTGACTAGTTTTTCTTCCCCCCATTTCTCAGATGTGGATTTTCTATGTAGGCATTGGCTTGCTATCTTATTTTAAGATTTAGGTTGTACACAACCTATTGCTTTCCATTGAGCTGTGGACAGGGACTAGTATGTTAGTGCATGGGGACTGTCCAGGGGCAGATTGGGCAAGCAGTTGATTAGGATAGTTGTTCCTCCTTTGAGGAAAACCCATGCAGGCCATGCTTTGCTCTCAACCTTGTCAAGAAAAAAGCAAGAAACAGCCTGAGTTATTCTAACAGGCCATCTGTGGCCCAGGGCCACAAGCAGAATCTGCCTGCTTTGATAGGACTGAGATGTCATGCACATGTAGTCAAATCTGAACAGTTTTGAAAGCTTTTAATTCTCACTGAGGGGAATTCTGCTCTTGCAGTGCTGCTCACTGGGACAAATGGGTCATTCCAAAGATAATGTCTTCCATATTGAGTTTTTCTTTGGTTTGAATTTAGGAAGAAATCACTGTTTCTGAAAAAATATCAGTTTAGCTAGTTTTCAGAGATTTATTTTAAATTGATTATTGTGTAATTTCTATGGCCAGTTATTGCATCCATGAAGAGCAGGAGAAGCAAGCTTTTGTGAATATGCATGTAACCTGAAGGAAGGGTTCTTTCTCCATGGAAACACAGACTTAGGAAATTTAACACTTGTACTTCTACAAGATATTGACATTGCTCTCCTCAGTAGGATTTTCTGTAGGTTCATAATGGATTACTGGTTTTACTCTACTCAGAATAAAAATTATGTTGCTTCAAGGAACTTAGGATCAAAATGGTACAACTGCTGGATACTTTGCTGTGAGGGTGTAAGGGAGATGCTGGAAAGCTTGGTCTGTGCCATAGGTACAACTGTCTTGTATTTAGAGCCTACCCTTTTTTATGTATAGAAACAAGAAAAACTAAAAGGGAGTTTTAGCTCTGTCTTGAGGTTCCATCTGAACATCTGAGATGTGGTTGAAATATGCTTAAGATGTTTCATGTGAAAATTCTGATCATTAAGTATAGCTAAGATGTGAGGATCTTGGTTGAGTTTGTGTTTGAGGATAATATCAAGGTTTTGGAGTGATGGGGGATAAAGACAATTCTGTTACCTACACTGATTTGGCAAGTGATGAACACCTGAGTCCTGTTCTAGTGCCTACCAGCTAATTTGGAGTTGTTTTTTGTTTGTGAGACCTAGAAGGCTGATTGAAAAATCTAGTAAAAATAACTGATGTAGACGCAATGCATGGCTTTTATCAGCAGTGTTAGGACCATCCAAATCCAGATGCTGTTTTCTTGCAGTCTTCTGCATGCTGAGTCAGCTCTTCTAGCTCTTTTGAACTATTATTTTGTTTCCCTAGCAAAGCTACAGCCAAAAGTACCTTAAGCAAAATTTTTGTTCATTACACCTGTTGCATCTTTCCTGTAGTGTTTGAAATAGCGGCAAAGCTACAGACACTACTTTAGCAGATTTAGGTGCACTCTCGTCATGTTGCGTTTCTTCTGCAAGGTAGATGGCTTTCTTTGATGAAAAAAACCCTTTGTAGTACTTCAGGTCCATGATCACAGACATTTTTTTCTGGCTGCTTTTCTAATAGTCACTAGACAGTGACCTCTAGTAACATGGCTTTCTTGTTGATAGTTCAGAGACCAAAGTGCTAAGGATCTTATCCAGACATTATTTGTCACCAGCAAGGGGAAGAAGAGTATGTGGAATTGACTGAAAGTCTGTGGGTCTCATCAAACTGTTCCTGTTTCCAAATAAAAATGCCTCTGAACAATACATTTGCAAATTGATGTGTTTAAAAAGTAGAAAGTGTATTATAATCTTTAAAATTATGATTATTGAGATGGGAAAATTCCTCAAAAGACAAGCAAATATCTACTTGTCTGAGTATCTTCTTGAGAGAAACCTTAGGTACTATAAGGGTAAAGAGATGTTACTTTGTAGTGGCATTCCTGGCTTGAATTTAATATTTTAATTGAGTGATGCAGTGAAACATGGGGATCATAGTTACACAATGTGTGTTGAAGCCTTAACAGGATAATAGGCATGCTGAAACACTTATTAAAAAAATTGAGCTGGAAAATAACTCTTCCTTGAAATTACTTTTTCTGAACTTTCATGGTAGGCTGTTGACTTCTGTTGACTGGTTATTAGTAAGCTCACTTTGCTGGTGAGACTTGAGTTAAACTTATTTAATCTTCAAAATAACTGTATGTACACGAAGTGTTCAACTTGTACTGTTTTGGAAACAGGTGCTACAACTCCCTAGAACACAGTTGTACCAGAGTAACTGTTAGGTATGCTGGAAAGTAAGGGTGCCGCAGAAATGGAGCATTCACTGATGTTGATCTTGTCAAAATAGCTTGTGTTATAACTTATTCAAGTCAAACTTTAAATAATTTGGTCTTTGTTAAAAGAGATAATTGATTTAGTTGAAATGTTAACTCAGTAGCCTGTAGGCATAAAATTTTTTTCTGCCCTGGAGCAAAAGAAAGCAGGACAGGATCTCGTGATTATCCTGTCTCTTTGTGTAGAAGCTGCTTTCCTGTGGGATGAAGAGAGGCTCATGAATATCTTTTAATTATTATGGGCATACTGTTATCCAGGGTAAACTAAGGTATAGCCAGCTGACTGCTGTGTATGAAGTTCACAGGTTGTTCAGGGTAATGTGTTAATGTCACCATACCTTCATATAGACTCTTGCAGTTCTTGCTGTAGTTCCTGCTAATGATTATGACTTTATTAAGCAGAAAGATGAATTAACTCCTAAAGAGTTGGTACTACTTGAATTTAACAAGTGACATCAAAGAGCATTCATATCTTACTCCCAAAATTCACACCCATCTTTATTATAAAGACGTAACTCTTTAGACAGCAGTGTTTAAGCAACACTTGATGCTGAACTGTATCCTGGTATAGCTGATTTCTGAGCTTAAGGTGGTGGAAATTTAGGGCAAGGAAGGAAAGGGCTGGTGCCACTACAGAGTCTTAAGAAATTAGAAGAGTAAGAAATCAAAAGAGCCTGTTGCATTGGGGAAGGTGTGGCAGTTCACAGGAGGTTCTGTGATTGCATCAAAGCAGTTAATTGTTAGTTGAGGTTGATACTTGAAATAGAGGAGCAGATAAAGATTCTCATATGGAGACATTATTCTGATGAAAAAGTGTCATAATCTGATGGCAAATGTGACTTCCTATGCAACAGCAATTCCTGTCTGGCATCTAGGTCCAAGTAGTAGCATGTCAGGCAGATGAAATGTAAGAAATCTGTAAAAATTTAAGTAATACAATATTTATGGTAAGGTCATTTGATACCAAGTAAGCCAAAATGGATATATGCATTAGTTAAGTTTGATTAGAAAAAAAACCTAAATAAAAGTGTAAAGTATGTTTAATATGTAAAGTTCAATATGGATTATTGTATGAAAGCAAGTAGCAGTTTATGGTGAAACCTGAAAGAATTTTTTAGATCAGCTTCTTGATGTCTACTGAAATCTGAACCGTTATGTACAAGAAAATGAATGTGTATATATAGTTGTTTACTTTGCCTTGATGTGTTTATTTAAACTGAATAGAATTAGAATAATCTGTTAATGCAATAGACTAGAGTAATTACTTGGACTAGAAGCTACTTTGAGCTGAAGTAAAGTAAGGAGATCAGTAGTGTAAGAAGTTGCAGCCTACTAGACTTTCCTGAATTGTTAGAGTACTTCTTTGTAGAAAACAAATAATGTTGAGTATTAAAAATGAATTGGTCTTCAGGGTTGATAGCGAAGGCCAGAAAGTTTTCTTTGGTAGTTATCTCATATATTTGCTACAGAGCATGCTAAAAAATCCTCTGTGGAATAGGTAAAACAATGTTGTCCAGGAACTGAACTTATTTTGCTTTTGCAGATTAATGGCAGACAATTGATTCCTTCATTAAGTTGTTTCTTTTAAGATAGCAAAGCAGATATCCTAGTTTTGCAAGTTTTCAGGAAATCCTTCTCAGAGAGCTGATCTCTGGTGTTTGAAAAATCTTTAAGTGCTTATTCATTTACTGCCTGGAAGTAGCCATGTGTACACATTTTTGTAGTTGAGCAGTTTCTTCAAAGATAAAAATGAAGCTAGTGTCAACTGAAGTAGTAGGTGGAATAGATGGAACTTCTAGTAAAGTATTCTGTTGCATAAGAATCATCATT